ACATATCTTAAAGTCGCCAAGGTTAAGAAACACTGATCTAGAGGCACTTAGGGAAATGAACCCGGCAATGGGGCTGCCACTGCTCTTTTTGGCCCCACGGCCCACTCCGGACTCTTTCCAGAGTCAGCAGTGGGCACAGGGTCTGGGAATCCTGAGAAATCCAATCCAGGCCTGAACTGGGGAAGGCTGGCATATATTCTCAAATGCCCGGGGTGTTTGGTCTCAACTGTCGAACAGGCAGCACCTCCTCCCCACTTTAGGGCTGGGACTCGAAAGCGGTTTAGGCACTACGGAGCTTCACTCCCTCCTGTGTACCCTCTTCCTCCCTTGTGGCTGGAAGCCCCAGGATATTGGATATTTTTTAAATTGTAAGTCACCCAGAGTCACCCTCTGGGGGAGATGGGTGGCATATCAATTTAATAATAAATTAATTAAAAATAAATAAATTGGCAAGCTTTTGAACCCAAGGAGACGCCTATGCCTTGGATGATATACCCCAATATGATCTGCTGGGCCTGGCACCAGCTTTGTAGGCCTGGAGGTGGCAGAAGATCAGCCTGGCGAGCTGCTGTTTCACAGACGACACGTGCAAGTGAGGGTATGACGGGCTCAAAAGAAACACTCCCATCCCGTTCTCTGCTTGCCCGCAGGCGACTTCCTCCCCCTTGCAGTCATGGGACAAATCTGGTCTGTGCTTTTTTATTTGGCCCATCTACGATCGACAAACCCTTCTCCGGATCCTTCCCCGGCCTGTCTGTCCGTCTCTCTCTCACGCATGCCCCTCCCCACGAGCCCACTCTTCCTGGAAGAGATGTGTAGCTATAGTTCTTGCCGACGCTCAATCTTCAGCAGCTCAACTTCAAAAATTAACGTGGCGCCGCCTGGGAATAGGGTGAGAAAAGAGAAAGGGGTGGGGGTGGGGGAATAAGAGGGCAGAAATTGAAGATGCCACCCATTGGTAGGAACCTAGTTGACAACTGAGATTTGGGGCAGGTTTTTTTATCCCCTGGGCTGGGCAGAAGATCAGGGTATTAATGAAGTCAATAAAAACATGGTCAAGTCCAGTGGGGAGAATTTGAAGTAAGGATGATACACAGGATGTAAATTCTTCACTGCTTGGTCAACAGAGTGGGATGTCCCATTCTAGGGCCAGGCCTGCCCCAGAGAAGGACCTTGAATGTGAGGAAATGGAGGTTAAAGAAGACATACCTGGGATTTTGGGTGGTGCCCCCCGATCTCCATAACCTGTGAGGAAACACAACAGAAGCCCAATCAACCAGATCTCAAATAATGCTAGGAAACTACCCCGGTCAAGTTCCAGAAAATTACACACAGCTGAATATGCAGAGGGGCAAAGCATCAATGCCAGGGCACAGATGCCACCACTCTGTTTGGGAGCACGGTGCCAACCCGGTGGTATTCCTGTACTGATTATGCTCTCGTTCCTTACCCAGCTCAGAGGGAATGACTAACTTCCTCTTCTCACCCTCGCACATCCTGAAATCACAAAAGAAACGACAAAGAATGCTTTGGCGTTACAAATCTTGAGGACTAGAATTTTACTCACCACCATTTTAACTGGTACAAGCATGCCCCTGTCCTTCCGTCCAGACTAACCCCAGGCAGTCAGAAATTTAAATTCTAAAAACCATGAAGGCTAAAAACTTGCTCATTAAACAGACCTGGGTTGTGCCTGCATTGCCAAAGGTGCCTCTGATACATCAGAGACACAGAGAAGTGCCGAGTCATGGAATGCACCGTTCTTTATTAAAATATGCAAGCTAATTCCTCGAGAGTCCCAGGAGAAAATGCTCAGGGCAAACCCAATGCCTTTTTGAGGAGAGCCAAGAATTTGAAATGTGGTAGGGACCCACACCACCTTGGGAATTAAAAAATTCAGGCAAAATTGCTCAGAATTCCCTATTATTGAGAAACTGGGGGGAGGGAGGGCTAAGGCCAGGAGAAGGTGTTTCTCGGGGCAGCCTTCACATCATGGAACAGTCTTCCCCGGAAGCTAGGTTTGAGCCAACACTGCTAACTTTCCATAATAAAGTTAAGATGGAGAACTTCCAGACAGCTTTTTAAACCAGTTAGGACAGTGTTTCTCAACCGTAGCAGCTTTAACATAAGTGGACTTCAACTCCCAGAATCCCCCCCCCCCCACGGGCGCGGGGGGGGGGGTGGGGGTGGTAGAGGAACCTTTTTTTTTTTGTTTTGGGGGTGGTGATCGAGGGTATTTTTGGTGGTAACAGGGTGGGTGG